TCGATTCGATTCCGGCATCCTTGTGGTAACTTAAAACTCCGGCTCCGGATTTAAAAAATATGGACTCCAACATTAGCGAATAATTCCACTATTCCGAAAATTCCGTAAAACCGCATTTGTAACGAAAAACCACACTAAGCTCTCGAGCGTTCAAGTATCCGCATAAGAGAGCTATTGTGTGGGGTTGTATCGAGTAATTCTAGACTGTGACGATCGCTGGAAATAAACTTTTGGGTGAATTTTTGTGGCCACGTGAATTTAGAATGTTTTAATTGAATTCTTCTGTCAGTACTGTATTGAGGGGAGCAATCAGCATTAATGGTCTTTTTCAACGTTTATTTCTTTGAAGGGCAGACTCGGATATGCCGCACTTCATATTGATATATTTTATTTTACCCCCCCCCCCCCCCCCCCTCTGCACGAGAGAGGCCAGAAATACTGGCAGGTTTAAACACGGTTTATTTTCGGATAAATGTGAATAATAACTAAACTATAAGGGACGCATTGTCGCGCCATGGCACGGTATTGGAAAAGCGCGATATTGTATAATATTTATTCTATATTTACCTCGTGTTTCTGGGGGGGGGGGGGGGGGCATGACTTCATTTATCTGACCCTAATTTAAATCAAGTGAACTGAGCATAAAATTTGGTGGAATTAGTGGTGAAAAATAGCAAGATAAAAGCACGTGGATCTTTTGTACAAAACCCCTAGCTAAAAAAATCACCCGCGCCATCCCTCAAAATTTAAAAAAAGATACCGGTAGTGATCATCGAGTTAGAGTCGCGAATGTAGATTGCGATGGAAATTAAAGTATTTAAAACATTCCTAACCCCTACTGGATAATGACTAATTTGGTATTTAAAAGAGGTGGCGGGAGTCTTTTTCCAAAATCTTACATTTTTGCATTAGTGGCAAGACAGTACTTACTCTCGTATGTTCTTATATATCGATGGAATTACCATAAAGCCCGTTACGGTTCCGTTGGAATTAAACTTGACGTCAGAAAGAATTTAAAAATTTGAATTTCTGAATTCCTAATTCTAGCTGCATAAATACTAATTTTCTTATTTTGGGTTCGGGGGTGGTTTTTGGCGGGGACTTTGTAGAAAAGATTCATACTCTGTTACATTCTTAGAATCGATGTATTTACCATAAATCCTTTCGGTTCACTCGCTCGATTAAATTTGAAATTTCACAAAATAACGGGTAGTCGTGCACGACGCTCTTTAAAACCCGCATTGGTTTGGCAATGGAAATCAAAATGGCGGATTGGCGCCAAAACTACGAGTTTGGCGGGAACAATTATGCTGTCACAATGTGACGATGGATTGTAGCGGAGGTAATTATGACGTGACACTCGATACATTCGATCAATAAACATACTTGACATTGGCATTCACCCAGCTGTGCAGCTAAAAATAACAGAAGTTTTATTACATTTTTAGAAAACCTAACCGCATTATTTTAAAATGCACGAAACATCCATCAAAAATCCCCCCCCCTCGCAAAAAAAAGTTGAAGTTCCCTAATATCGGCGATATAAGATAAGTGCACTGGGAATAATTGATTTCGAGAATTTATCAAAACCTTTGCGATTCCGGAAAGTCGGAAAGACAAAAACACAGACACGCACAGACAAAAATTTTAATTTTATGTGACTTCAAGTTGGCAAGATCCGGTAACTAACAACTAATTTCGTTGGAATTGATTTAAAAAAAAAAATACCATTTGCGTTTACATATTTCATACGATTATTTTATTGAAACGACATTTCAATTTTGTTATATAAGATTAATAATACTAATATTAATGCGCGACTTCAGCGCAAAATTCAATTTTGTTACGATCCGGAAAATTAACAGCGGAGCCGTCACACGTCCAATATCGGCAAGATTCGACAGCTATACCAAAAATAAGTTATTAAAAAAAAAAATTGAAAGAAGTAGAACTAGAATAAAGTTTTTTTTAAATAAAAATCACTTCTCTAAGAGTGGAAAAAAAAACTTTTGGAAAAAATTTTCATATTACATAAGCTCATTTCCCCTATTAAAACAGTATTTCCATTTTATTATATAAAATAAATAAGAAAAAAACATATACGCGATGTCGCATCGACGAACTTTTTGCAAAGATTTAATAAATCACAGCAAAGCATTTACAAGCAACAACCATTGTAGCCACAAACACGCCAAAGCAAACTCAACTTTGACCTTCGAACCCGTTCTGGATGACTTAAGATATGTTACTACCGCAACAGCTGTGCCAAACGCTTTGCCAAACCCTCTGTGGGATTTGTAAAGGGCAGTATGTGCAGTTAAAATAAGAATATAAACCATGATTTAATGGAATAGATCCAGAGTTCCGTTCTTTAAGAGAATTTGCTCTTTAAGAGAATTGACTCATCTCCGAGAAAAGTTACAAGCACTCACTCAGAAGTAAAGGATACTCATATCTGAGCAGAGTTACGGGCACTCATTAGGAAGTAAAAAAGACTCACTTCTGAGCATACCGAGTAATGGTAAAGCATTTTTCATGAACCGGTACCAAAGAAAAGTACACGTAAAGCACCAGAATATAGCTTTTTTTACTTGTGGAGGTAGAAAAAAACTTCTGGCAATCATTCTCAAATCGTGTTGGTATTTTCACAATGTTACCTGAACGCTATTTTTAGATTTTGGTTCGAAATTTCGAAACGTGTCTCGGATGTTTGTGTCAGTATGTCTGATGAAGTTCAATATCTTTAGAGTTTCGATTCCAGATTGGTAACTTCCGGAAGTGATGTATACCGGAACAATGAAGTTGCTATTAGAAACACGTAAACACGACAACACGCTGGGATTTTTTATTTGTCAGAAGTGGCGTGCAGCAGAACAAAAGTGTTGCTATTAGAAACCATGACCGAACAATATGTACGTTTTTTTCACCCCTTTTAAACGTCTAAAGTAAAACAACGCGTCACACCAAGACATCCAGTTGGGCCAGTTTTCTGTATACACAACAAATTAAATAATTAGCGACAACCAAAGAGCCGCGGTAAAGGCAAGAGAAGAGAATGCGCCTATCGCTTAGACTTAGAGTAATAAAGACACCAGGCAAAACGGTGAAAGATTTAACCTAGCGACAAGAGAAAAAAAACATTATGTATTGTTACCCACGTCAGCGCCTTTTTAAGCATAAAATGTCGGATTAGGATTTGATGCTTGATGGGGAAAAACCTGAGTGTTGACAAGAGCCCCACTGAATGACTTAGCGGGCTGGATTGTGGCCCGCGGGCCGCCTGTTGAACACACCGTGATTGCTTGTGGGAAGGGTACTCCCGTAGTATGTGTACCAGGTTAGGGTTAGGCCATAATTTTATTCCGATTTTCCTTATTTTATTTCTATCACGAGTTTGGTGACTGTCTGTGTTAGCCAAGTAAATATATGCCCTGGACATAGATTTCCGTCCCTTTACATAACTTGATGAAAAGTAGGCAAACAAAATTAGTTACCTCCATATTGATACACACACTTCTGGAACGCCATGGAAAGCCGTATTTACGGTAAAAATGTCGAAAAAAAAACGATCGAACGTTAGGACATCAAAACAACAACACGAACGTGATTAATTGAGTACCGACATACGGAACAAAACGTCACTTCCGTGCCAAATTGGCTGTAATTGAACATTTTTACTGAGAATTTCCATCTATTTTGGCACGATGTGTACGCGGGGAAAACCCGATTTCATTTGATCGATTATCACGCGTAATACACAAAGACATTTTTAGCAAAAATTTGAATAAATATCGATTAAAAATGGCCACAATTCTAAGAACTGAAAATTAAAAAAATGTAAAATTTACTACAATCTTATGGTAAAACGATTACCGATTAAAATGATTTTTGCGGAAGGTGAAAAAAAGTGGAGCCGTGAATGGGAGCAATGATCAAGTATATGAACGCGGAGGGCATATGTCAAGACAGTGTCTCTATATGAGCTTATAAAAAACATTAAAATTTCGGGTGGTGTTCAAAAACAAAAGTAAACGCCTGAAGGAATGCAAATTTGAAACCGATCGATTTATTAAATGCGTAGAAATGGGCGCTCCGGAAGTATTTGTACCAAGATGACGCACAGCCTAAACAACCCTACCCTGTTACACATACTATGTTCAGGTTGTGCGCCATCTTGGTACAAATAATTCGAGATCACCTAGAAATGCAATTTTTATTCACGACAACAACATACCGATCAACGACATAACATCAACTTATGTACACTTTTGTGTCCTTGAAACTAAATCGTGAAGCCGAGTTATTTAGTCACTCTAAGCTATTTGTTTTGATCTGTGGTTTTTAACTCTTTATGGCTCGTGGTACCTTTTGGAGGCTTTTAGCACCCAGGGCTCCCTGTTTATCATTCCAGTGGTATTTAGAGTGTTATTTTGCTTAGTAGATTCCAAATTTCATTATGTTCAAACGATTCATGCTTGACAAAGTCAAAACACCTTATGAAATAACCTTATCAAGCACAATGAGACTAGGAAGAACGAGAAGATTTCTAGTGAAAAGGAAAGTAAAATCAGTTTGCGCCTAGTATCTATGTGGCCCCCAGTTCACAACGATAGATATATGCATACTTCGTGTTCTAAATCTAGATAGTATATGCGGGCTGTTTTGTTACTGAATGCAACGTTCGTTTTAGTCAAAATTCCCAAATGGGGGGGATTTTGCCGTTTTTCGGGAAGAATTTTATCGTTTTTTTGGGGGGGGGGGAAAGTTTGTTTTGTATCCACCGTAGTATTACTTGTATTCTTTAGTTCTTTACTAATATTATACTTATACGAGGCCTTGATTTGACTTGTTATTTTATCTCTACTCTCCGTCCCGCGAAATCCGTTCCGAAACAGTTAAGACCGTTCCTGCGTGGTTTACCATATTGGCTTTCTTTTTCCATGGAATATTTATGAAAAATATCCATTTCAACTTCCTATATAACATCCTATATCACTGACCTTTGACATCATCTTCACGTAATACTTCGTCATCGTCTCGATTTCCTTCTTCAGTTGATTCTAAATATTTAAAAATAAATGTCGGGTTAAAGAACAACTTTGACTCCGACTACCACCATTTTACAAAATTAGTGTATGAACTATATTTTATTGCAGTTCAAATTCACTACACTGACTGTAGTATATTGGAATTTGGGGACCGGACAATTAAAATTTTTGACTCCGACCACAGGAAAGTACTTTTTTTGGATTCGTCAAAGATATAATCTAAAAACCACTCCTCGAAGTAGCGTCCGATTGCTATACTGTTGTAGCACAGGATTAATTTTCCCGCGTGTTTTCTTTTATTCCGTTCATTTTACCATAGGCCAGGTCAGAATACGTTGGGTTAGGTAATTGTCACGCGTTCTAAGTAGTCGGCCGGCAAAGATTTTTGAGTGAGGTCCAAATATTACAATGGAAAAAGTTTTAAGACCCGACAACCATCACGTTGGTGACAATTTAGCTTGCCTCGGCCAAGATTTCCTTTAATACAGGAGGACCAAACACAAATAAGTGGGTGCTCCAAAAGTATGCGCACCGAGATGTCGCACAACCTGAATCTTAACCGGTACACACATACTATGTTCAGGTTGTGCGCCATCTTGGTGCGAATACCTCTGGCGGTCCAATAAGTGGGTGAAACCGCGGGCGGCACTTTCATATAATATAGGGTTTCTAGCAGTTGCAGGCACAAAAACTTTGGTTATTGGTCTTATGGCATGCGTTGTTTGCACAAGCTCGCGAATAGGCTTTGCAAAGCAAATGAATTGAAATCACCTGCACGCACTAGATTAAACTGAATTAAAATTCGTTTCGCGGGCCAAACGCCATTCAAAATTGACAATTCTCCGCGGGCCTGTGGTCCGCAGGTTGCCCGTGGGCCGCAGTTTGCACACCCATGGTCTGGGGAATGTTCGGCGGCCAACAGGGTATGAAGGAATGTACTAGCTTAGTTGTCGGCAAAGTTGATTCCCGAATAGTAAAAGGGAAAAAGTTTCAAGATTCATCAATTTGATAGAAATTTCAAATTTACCCACCTATTAAATTTGATAAAGGACATTTAATTTGTAATCAAAATTAGTGTAAACGTTCCAATACACGTCTCGGTACAAAGATGGAACAACCGAGGACGTTCCAGAAATACGTACACACCGATATGGAGGTAACTAATTTTGTTCGCCTACTTTACAGCAAGTTGTGTAAAGAGACCGAAACCTATGTGCAGGGGTAAGGCCTGACCCTAACACATACTACGGGAGTACCCAACCGAGAGTAGCGGTACACCTCGTTAGCTTGTGCAATAAAAAAATGGATACGCAAGAATGAACAGACCAGAATAGTTGCAATGACGGTGCTATAGTTGAAATGAACGTCGATCGTTTGTTATATAAACAAAGACCATTTAGAGGCAAAAAAAGAAATATAATGTTGAATTTATAGACTGTTTTTGTGTATCAATGCAATATTTAAAATTGATTAGAAGAAGCCCACTAGAAAATGCTTGGCATGACCGAACCGAACCCAGAATTAAAGACTACAGACAGCAAAATTAGAGGCGGAACAATAACCGGATAGTACTCCGGCTCTAAAACAACTAAAAAAAGACTCCAATATTCACAAACATCAAAGATCAAACCCACCTTCATGCCGTACGTGACTGGCCAGATATAAATCCAGTTCTTTAATGGTGATGCTGATATGATAGGGCTGAACACACAAACCAGCATTGTGGCCGCAATGAGGAGATTTACTCAGCCGTTCGCCGTCTGTTGATTCGAGGGGGATTCCCCGGAAAAGAATTACCATCACCAAATCGAGTCGCCAGACCTGAAAATATAATTTTCAAATAATACTGTGGACGATGGCCTAGTGGTTAAAGTACGAAACTCAAAACTGCCGGCATTGCGAAGTAAAGTTCCGGGTTCAAATCCCGTGCCATTCACCCGCAGTCAGTGCATTGATGATCGCAGACCTAAAAACTATGCTTGTTACCAAGGATGTAATGGATTCGGGACGCCCAGAACTGATATATTCCGGCCCTTTCAAACTATAGAAGCTATTCTTATGTAAGTGCATGTAAACGCTTGTCTTGTTCATAGCCGTGTTCGTAGTGAAAAGTAAAAAAGAGGGTATTTACTCGTTTGTCGTTTAATCCTATTGGCCACATATGCAACGTTATTAGGCAGAACGGTACTCCCGTAGTATGTGAACCAAGATGGCGGACACCGGAACGTAGTATGTGTACCAGGTTAGGGTTAGGCCATAATTTCAGATACAAATACTACGGGAGTCACTTGGCTAGTCCCTGAACTCGTAATAACTAAAATAAGGAAAGTTGAAATAAAATTATAACCTAACCCTAACCTGGTACTCATACTACGTTCCGTGTTCGCCATCTTGGTTTACAGACTACGGGAGTACCGGCAGAACATGTTTCAAAACATAACATGATTAGATAGAAGTCACTGATAATATGATGTAAGTTATTTATATGACATCATAGTATCAAAAGAACAGTCATAAATCAAATCGAAGACTCAAAACACCAGCACAAGCCAATAATGATTTAACGTTTACAAAATGACGTCGTAAGGATGTGGGTCGTAAGAGCGTGACAACATTGACGTCACCATCACAAAATGACGTCATAATGTCGGGCATAGTCATAAAGCGCATGGGGAAGTAGTGGCATCAAAGTTAGAAAATCTACGTGGCCCAATGCATGATAGCTCGAAATATTTCACAAGATAAACCCAATTAAAACTGAACGACAATTAAAATTCTTTGCAACGTTAATTATTATATCAAGAGATTTTAGGTTGCCAGATTACATGTAATTACAGCAGCCAAATTATACACTATGATACACATATGTGTTTAAATACTCTGACTGATTATAAACTTTGGAAATAATTAAAAAGCGCTTGAAACTTCAAACGAAAATAAATCAAATAAAAATATAAATTATGTAACAGAAGAATTAGATCATTTGTCTGGTTTAAAATTCACAATTAAAGTTTTTATGCGACCCGTAGACAAGTTTTTGAGGGAATGTTAGCCTATTCAAAAATAAAAAATATTTGCTAGATTTTATCTTGCCCGACTTATTTTTTTGGATATTTACATTTCAAAACTTTTCATTTATTTTTTATTTAAGTTCCATCCACGTATTTTCAAGGTGTTTTTTTGAATAAAACATAATTTCGCCTTACTATCTGTTATTTGTTAGCTAGTTATCTTTAAGGTGGGGAGGAACTTTAAAGATTCTAAAAGCGTTACGTGAATAAACAGTCCACAATCGTTGTTGAATCGTTGAAGTCCTTCAAGCGATGAATTGGGGTTTCTGACGTCACAATAGGTTTTATGTCATCATAGATCGATTGTTTATTTTGAAAAAAAAATTAATATAGACTACGATATAAAATGCTATTTTGGGGGTAAAAAGAGATTATTTATTATGTGTGGGAAAATGAATAAATAAATTTGCGAAAAAAATTTTCAAATTTCTTCACGCGTTCTTCACTAAAAGGTAAAACAGTATTTAGCCAATTATTTTTTTGGAATTTCAACATTTTTTGTCTTGAAATATATAATATATATATATATATATATATATATATATATATATATATATAATATAGTCGCACTACAGTAATATCTTGGGAATATAAACATATATTTTAAAATGAGAATCCGCCCCTGCTAAATTATGAATACTATTTGGACTTTTGCGTTATGGGAATTGGTGAATTACTTATAAAAGGAAAAATGAATTTCGAAATTAATAACAAAGTCCAAAAAATATTTTCAGAAACTTTGAATTTTGTTTGAAATTTTTTCTCAGAATAAGCCTCTTACGACAAGGATTCCATGAAAAACTTTCGACTGTAAAATTTATAATTGTCGAGTTAAACCGTAACATCTCGCGGGTCCGGCCGAAAAAAATGGGATTTTTAAGAGTTACATAGGTCTAAGAAGCGCTTCAAGGCACGAAGTATTGTTATGTATCGTTTTTTCGCATTTTAAAAAGGAAGATGGGTGTTCGACCAGCAAAACCACTTCGCTGGGTGCTCCCCAAGGGCAGCTTTCCCCTTATTCTCTATATCACTAAACCGAAATAATTAAGTTTTTTTCTGATCAGCAATTACAAGATTTTCAAAAGGCAGGCTGATGTCGGTTAGTTCACGGCCCGGTTTATTCGCCTTCTCGATAAAAACTTGAATTATTACTTGATAAATGATGAACGAAGTTTCCGGTAAACCTGTCACGAATCGAAAGTGAGAAGTCTAGTCATTGTCAAAGTTATCAACATGTCTCATCCGCGATAGCGCTTTATTTCAGAGAAAAATTGAGCAACGGAAAGCAAGAGATGCTCAAATATAAGGACACGAAAGCCAAAACGAAGTAGCATTAAATCTTTTACAGTACCGATAGTCTGGGCACGAAATCGCTGAAATGCAGGCACGGAACCACGGCAAAAAACGAATTATTTAAATTTTTAGGACGTTATCGCACACAAAATTTGATTTCAATAAAGCCCACAGAATTTTTAAAAATAAATAAAAGTTCTAGCTTTCTAGCGAAAAATCACTAAAAAAACACTGGAAATTTCAAAACTATCGGTACTGTGGTTGATGAGAAAAGCGATAGTTAGTTTTACATCAGGAGAAAAATACTAACAAGGAATGAAGAAGAACAACAACATAATGATAACAAAACGATCCATGGTTGCCTTTGTCTTTGCCAAATATTCAAATACCTTTCTGTAACAATGTTTTGTCACAAGAATTTACAATAAATTTATGAAAAAAAATTGACACAAAATAACAATAAAAAATGTACTTTTTATGAGTAACAGCAAGGAAATGGGCTTGAAAACTTTGGAACCTTTGAAAAATAGTGGGTTCTAGTAGTTCTACTTTAACTATTTTTTTCACGATATTCTCACGCCTTCTCTTGAAATAAAGCTTTGTGCAAGTACACACTAAGGAGTCACTATTATTCGAAAGAAACGAAACCTTTCCAGTCTGGCATTGCCTATCCGATTTATGAATGTTTCCCCGACCTTTGACCCCGGGAAATTCTTCCTATACTTTACCATTGCATTGATTCCTATATTAAGAGTGATTTTGCGAGTTGGCGCCTATAAACTGGATTATATGTTTCAAACCATCATCCTGATCCAAAATATTCAACAATTTGATATCAAAAGTGCCGTTACAAAAGTTTAGCCTTGTTCATCACAGCTATTTTAAGACTAATTTTTGATTGCTGCAATTGAACTAAAACTTTTAAGAGGTCGAAATTATCATTAAATGATTTGATTCATACTCAAATTTTCTGAACACAACTAAAAACTAATAAATAGCATTCAAAAATGCCAAAACGAGATGTTTTACCCGGGATTTAAAATCTGCGATGTCATTATAAATAAAGTCCAAGCTTCAACCACAACAAAAATGGCGCCGTTTTCAAGTCCACATCCAACGTGACAAAAAATGGTGCGAAATGATTATAAATGACATCGCGTGATATTTCCAGACGGCATATCAATTAATTAGGCTGATTAGACTTCATTTGTGAGAGCCGGACGCGTATTTTTTGTTAATTTTGACTTTTTTTATGGTTCCGCGTCACGTACGATGGAGTTCTTAGTATTATTTGGGCGCAAACATTGAAATTGCGAGCTGAACGTGAAACATGATCATTAAACTTGTGTTGACGTGACTCGGTACAAAATTGAACTAAATTTGAGTCCATTCTATGTCTATTGTCTATCTGTAGCAAGAGTGTGCAACAAGCGGCCCGCGGGCCACAACCAGGCCCGCCAAAGTATTTAGTGTCGTCCTTGTCAACACACAGAATTTTCTCCATTATGCATAAAATCCCAATCCGACAGCATAAAGGCGCTCAAAATACACAACATAAAAATACATCCTACGTTTCCAAATTTAGGGGGGGGTTGATTACTTGCTATTAGTGATTAATCTATTGGTAACTTGAAAAAGTTTGTCATGTATAAGTCATACATGCTTCTTTCTGCATAAACACAATTGAATTTAAGTCAGAAGTCAAAGTGCATTTTCAGACCTCAAGATTAAGGGGGGCGGGAGAGGGGGGATATTGAAATTTTGGCGGGGCTGAACCCCCCATGAGGCGAGCGTAGGGAACTCATTGGCAGCTGTTATCTCACGAAAGCACTCATTTTATTAGTATATGACATGTGTTTTTTGGAGAAAAAAGCGAATATCCGTTGTTGACTTGAACGCGGAACCGCGTCGCGTAAGCTATTTGGACAAATTTTTTTTAGTTGGAAAATGATGACCTTTGACCCATGGCGTTTGAGAAATTTCATTGGTTTCGTTTGTTTCAATAAACATAGCGGTTCCGCCTATATCAGTGAATGGAATTGACTTTGAATAATTTAACTCTTTCAAGTCGTCGATTTTAGAGAACGAATATCTAATACTGGCCTTAATTAATATTACAGTATGTGAAAATTCCGAAATTCGCAAAATCCGGCCTTGTATGTTTTGGGAGAACTTGCTCAAATATATTTCACTCAAAGAGATTCATCTCTAAGCAAAGTAACGGTCGACCACGAATTGCCAAGAGCTTCTGAAACTATTTAAAATTATGGCATTGATTTGCGCGCCAGCAATTTCGAATTGACACAAGACTGGAAGAAGTCAATTCGGTCGGGAAATCAGCCAAGAAGTCCCAAATTCTGCATAAGTGAAGTTTTGGGGCTGAAATCGAACCCAAATACTTTACGGAATCGAATCGCATTCAAAAAACAATTAAAAACCGCATTTGGATTTTTTCAC